AGCACAGGCTCTGGACGTGCAAGCCCAGCGGCCATGGCTCACGGGCGCAGCCGCTCCGCGGCACGTGGGATCCTCGCGGATCGGGGCACGAACCTGCGTGCCCTGCATCGGCAGGCGGACTCTCAACCACTGCGCCACCAGGGAAGCCCGGAAACTGGTTTTAAACCCTGTCTTTTGTGGATCCCTCCTTACTTTGCTTTCCCATTTAAATCATGTACTTGCTTGTACTCAAGTATGCTGTTTCTCTTTTAACCAGATCCTAAGCTATTGGTGGGCAGGGCCTCCTCCGACTCTGACCCCAGGGAGAGTGGTTGTGCTACAAAAAGCTGTGGTACTTACCTGGTGATGCAGGAAATCCAGCCTCATTACTCCTGCTTCTCAATCTGCTTGAGGACATTCTTCCTTCTCATCGAGAGCACCATTATCAGGGCCCCTAAGAATCAGATAGCTGTCAGCTGATGAGGACAAGTCATGATGCTGCTCTGGCAGACTCTAGTGACACTGCCTACAAGATTCATAAAAGCAAATGATGCTTCTGATTCCCATAGGAGGGAAAGACACCTTTTTTTTTTTTTTTAAATAGTTTATCTATGTTTATTTGCTTATTTTTTTTTAACATCTTTATTACCTTCTTTGCTTCTTGATGCCCTTGGCCAATGTACCCAGGAACACATCTACCACCTCTCCTCTGCTTCTTCTGAAGACAAATAGGCCAACTCTGGTTTTTCTGCCACAAACTTATTTTTGACCAATAATTCCCAACACCGTGTATGCAATTTACTGTGTAGAAACAAAAGGCTTTGTAGAGTTTGGGGGTAGAGTGATAGGACAACCTATGCTCTACCAGGTCAATAAAAGTAATGTTGCTTTTTTCCATTCATGTGACCTACATAATAATTTTTAAAAGATAACCCTCTAGCTTATGAAATATCTACACTGTAGTACAACATACATCCTATAAGTTATTTTGATAGTCTTTACATTAATTTGAGTTAGATGTTTTCTAGAAGAAACATTTTTCAGAAACTAAGTGTTAAGAATAGTTGAAGGCTTCCCTGGTGGCGCAGTGGTTAAGAATCTACCTGCTAGTGCAAGGGACACGGCTTCGAGCCCTGGTCCAGGAAGATCCCACATGCCGCAGAGCAACTAAGCCCGTGTGCCACAACTACTGAGGCTGTGCTCTAGGGCCCACAAGCCACAACTACGGAGCCCACATGCCACAGCTACTGAAGCCCGCGTGCCTAGAGCCCGTGCACCGCAACGAAGAGTAGCCCCTGCTCGCTGCAACTAGAGAAAGCCCGTGTGCAGCAACGAAAACGCAATGCAGCCAAAAATAAATAAATTTAAAAAAATAGTTGAGACTTTCCATAAATAGATTTAATATCGTACCCTTCAGAGATGTGGCCTGCTATAATCCATACCACTTTATTATGAGTGAATGATGGAAACAATGCATTTGTGTTTCTAAACTGTTTCCTGATAATCGCTGAATAGTTTTCACAGTTACGTATTATAATACTTTCATGTAAGAAAATTAGCACAGCTGGAGTCATGCGGTCTTTATTAATTTGACAAAAAACAGGAAAATCTGCACTCATCTATCAAAATTATATCTTACCAAGAATTTGAAAGGTATTTAAAAAAGATGTATTCACAGTCTGTCTGAATCGTGTACAAATCTGTGTCTGTAGAAGCAAAAGCCAGACAATGAACACGTGAGGGTAAATGATCCCACTGAAAACCACACCCCAGCACCTTGATAGCACCATAAACACGACAGTCCTGTACTCAGTTCCGATAGTTGACTTGTAAACTGTCCTGTTGCAACACGTACTTATTTTAAAAGGAAAATTGCTTTCTGGGAAGTCCCTCCTGCTACACAGACCAGGCTGAAGCGCTAACACCAGATTCCAGGGCCCAGGGTGGACCCAACTACTACCTCAGGGCAACGCTGAAGCTGTCCGAGGCCCTAGGAAACAGCTTAGACATTCAAGAAGGGAGTTCACTTCAGCACCAGGCTGATCTTTAATGCACAGATCTGAGGTGTTTCTTGCCAGAGGAGAGGACTGTTCCAATGATGCTATCCAGATGATTTGGGATGTGAGCGTGATGGTGGCCTTGCTGGGATACCCTGCTCTGCAGCTTCAATGAGGGTTGTGAAGAGCTGAAACCACTGTTTTTAATCTCCTGTGTCTGGGGAATTTAAAATGAGGTAAGAAGATCACAAGGATCACTTCTTGGCTCAAATTTATGATGATATTGTTTCATCCCAGGGCAAAACCAAACATCCAGTTTTCAAGTCTCTTCCCAAACTCAGCGTTCAGGATCCTCTTGGAGTTGAGGAGAAAGACAAACGCAAATCTAGAGAAAAAGGAGTACTTTACTGGAAGGATTGGTTTCTGGAAGACTCAAGTCACCATAACATCAATTTTATAAGCCCTCAATAACAGTTACCATGAAAAGGGGTTATTGACAGGTAGCTAATATTTTAGAGAAGTTAAAGCTGGTATTTACCAGAAAACAAGAGACTACAGCTACATTCTGAGGTTACATCTTACTCATTTTTGCATCCTTAGACTCCAGCACCATGCCAGCAACACAGAAGACATTGAACAAAATTTTTCATCGTGGTTTCTGAGCTCATTTTCTTCAGGGCTAGATAATGAATGGGCAAATATGGCAAGGCCAGGCACTGGGGGTCAGGATCAGAGGCTTCCTTGAGATGTCTGACCCTGGAAGATCTTATATGGTAGTTCTGTCTCACATTTTACAAAATACAATCAAGACTACATCTATAAAGTTTGTTGAGGCCAAGTAAAGGGCAAGTACTAAACATATTATTTGTTTTGGGTATCTGTTATGGAAGGAGGGTTTTTAAAATCAAGGGACACTTTGAAAAATGGGGATCCGTGAGTTTAAAAGTAAAACCACCACCTCGTCAGTTGTTGCTTCTGTAGTGACATCAATAAATTGTTCACTTATGATTTTCTTTCAAGTTGCTTAGAAAGCTTCTCCTTTTTCTGATCAAGAGAGTTATTTACAGTGAGAGCTGTCATCTGAGGACCACACACTAATCTGGTGAGAATCAAAATCAGAGAAGCGATCCCTTCCTCTTTGAAAAAAAATTCTCTACAAATCCTCCAAATATGGTTGGTATTTCCATAGGCTAGTTTGTGGCAACGTTCTGTATGTAAACACTCTCTATTCTTCTGTAGGCCAGTCAGACACAGACATCAGTGGTCGCCCTTCTTCCGACTGTCCTCCCCTTTTTATTAAGCAGGTCAGCTGGGCTGGTCAGGTTTTACCATTTGTTTTGTCTGGTTCCACAGCCACCTCTTGCCCCTGGGCAAGGGCGCATCCTCAGTGGAATTGCTACTGTTTTCTCTGGTGACAATCTATTTTTCATGGTGGAAGACTAGCATTTTGATATTTCAGAAACAACTGAATTGACTCTAAGAGGGTTCAAAGGAAAAGTCTGCGTCCGAGACCAGTGCTTTAAAGAAATAAGATGTATTCTCTCTATGCTGAGATGTGGTTCCATCTTGCAGAAAGTGACAGGTCTATGGCAATCTTTCTACATAGGACAGCAATACATACGATGGATTTGAACACAATCACACACACCACACACCCTCTTCAGAGATAAACCCTTCATGAAAGAGACGGCATGTTTGGGATCCTCACACCAATAAACTACTCTAGGTCAGGGCTCCCTTCAAGACTGCTTCAAATCTTCAAATCACACATTAGTGTTCAGGTGGCTTTGTTGTAACCGTTGAACTGCATGTCTTCCTGGAAGATAATACCCACACTGTCACATATCTGAGAAGAAAAAGAAAATCTTGGGAAAAAGGGCCTAAGAGGAGCCAGGTTTTACACACAGGTTAGTACCAGCACATTACTCCTAAAGTTAGTTTCTTATAACAAATATTCCATGACAGAAAACAAATACTCTGAACTCCAAGGAGAACCCCAAACCAGATCAAATGTTGGCTGGAGAGACAGCAGCAGGAAACAGAGGGAAAGCTGGCCTCTCTTCAGCCACAAGGAGAAACTCAGTTTCTCACAAATGCTTAGAGTCTGATCACCATGGCTGAGGGCTGTCCGTGGTCAAAGAGGGGGTGTGCCCCAGCAAAGCTTCATCCAGAGGTGCCATGTGCTCGCAGGTGGAGGCTCTGTTCATGTGCATTGGCGCAGCTGAACTGCACAGGGCCTGAACTCTGCAGCCCAATTCTCACAAAGGTACATTGAAACGAAAGGTAACACAGAAGGGAAAACACAAAACGCCCATTGTGAAGTCCTTGAGGAATCACTCGGATCCCCTCCTCCTCCCCTCCTACCCAGGCCGTGAGCTCATCTTGTCCCATTGGCTGTTGGAGGCCCCTTCTCTCCCCTCTTGGCCGCTGGTTCTCCCCCTGACCCTTGGTTCTCCCACAGCTCACCAAGTGAAGTAACAGCTATCTCCAAGTTTTGTACTGATACAACTGACTCATAAACTTTATAAACCACCAGCTTTTGGCTATTGGTTCAAATTCTGACCTACTGTCCAGAGACAATGGGTTGCAGTTAAAAAGAAAAAGACAAACCAGGACAGAAAGTGCTTCACCAGCCATCTTACTCTTCTTTAATCCTACTGTCTTTGGGCACATTGCATTTGCTATTTAAGAAAGTATGACAGCAAGGCTGGTAGCATTGACTCATGACACATTCTTTGCACCACACACAGAGCAAAATCCTAGAACAACTGGATCATCTGCTTCCACAACAGAGCTGTCTTATTCGCTGTATAGGAGAAGTGCTTGTGAGGGGAGTACTGGGAGAGAGACAGAAGGAGGGAGGGACCTGGGGGCAAGTGAACCTACAAGTATGCCTAAAAGTTAGGAATTTGGTGGAAAATCCAGAATTTACCTAAGGGTAATAGGGAATTGTTGAGTTATAGTTCCACTCTTTC